TTTTCGAGAATACATATCGATAGTAATATTTGTTCAATACGAAGTGTGTGGTCGTGCAATGGTTAAGTTTCGATGATAGTATAAAGATACGAGATACGATGCAGCTCGTGCGAAATTCTCGTTGTCCGTTTCTGCACTCGCTAAACGAGCAATTCCACGACCACCCACTTTACGTTCAGAGCTATACAGGTTGTAGATCGGAGCGATTGTGATGCGGATATGGGCGAAATGACCAGCATATATGCATCATTTGTCTTAAGGCAACGAATACGGTGAGCGATGCGTAGGTGTAACGACAGTGGACGGAAAGAAGGTCAAGAAATGCGTCGGCTAGATATCTACAAGCAAATACAAAGAGTGTCTCGCGAATTGCGGTATAACCGGTGAGAGGATGACCCTTCGGGAAAAAATAACAAACTAATATATAAAAAATATGGCATAATATCCCAGTTGAAAGAGCAGCTTAGTAAATTAATAAAAAAATTATTGCATGTCTTAAATTAACTAAAAATTAATCGCCTCATTGTAACGAAATACCATGGTCAGATGAGGTTATCTTGCACAGGAACTTCAGGCAAGTAACTTTTAATGCTAGTAATTCTAATATACTAACCCGGTTATCAATTTTGCTTCGGAACAATAGACTGACCAAAATGTCTACAATAATTTACAGCTAATCCACATCCAAGAGAAGTTAGCGAAGGTGTTTAACATCGGAACTTACGGTTCATCTACACTACCTACGAGCAGACAACAGTATATAGATTTGGTAATTAGCGGCTCTTGTGTACTTCCTTCCCGCTTGCTTGCAGGAAACTTGCTGTTGATCGTATCGTCTTGCGTTATAGATAGAGCGTATACGTTTTAGGATATAATAAAGATCATACAGTGCGTTTCACATATTCCGTATTCCAAAACTACGTATTATTAGGTATATACGATTAAAAACTCAGTCGAATCTATAAGAATCAGACGTAATTCTTTGTCATTACTTTTCTATTTATGCTACATCTGATCGATTTGCAAAATTGGTAAAAGTTATTTTTGTTGCTCCATTAAGTCACTTCATTAAATCACTTCTCACTCACAGAGAATAAAATGCAACAGCGTTTTATGACTGCGGTCAATCGAGAAAATGACTTAGTCCTTCTTCCTGCTAAATTTTTGCTTTCTGTTTAAAAGCCAAACCCGATATTGTTAAATAAGTGAAAAATTATGCCAATAGGAATTATATGCATAGCTACGTATTATATGTGAAAAATTCATAAAAAATTCATAGTTTAATAGGAAATTCGTATATAAGGAGCGATCTTGGCTCTTATACCAGACATGTCTGACTTTGGAACCTGGTTGGTAGCAACGTATCTAGGTAGTTGGCTGGGATGTTCATGCCATGGGCGGAGGCAGGGCTGTACAAGCGGCCCCCCATTCGCTTTCCGGGTGCCACCCTTCTTTTCGAGCTGCTGCGAGATTTCCCCTGTCCCGGGCTGCGGCAATCACGCACATGCTCGCGCATGCGCCACCACGGCAACGTCGCACGCATGGGCGCCCACACAATTATATGGAAAGAGGAGGGGGCGCAAGAAATAGTGGATATCTATGATACACCATAATGCTTCTGTGATAACTGTAAATTATGATATTGTACGCATTCAAGAGTGCTCATTTTTCTATTAAGTTGAAGTATATCTGGTATGATACTGTTGACCATCTCACAAATTCCTAGTCTTCATTAGATCATAATCACTACAATTGGCCAATGTAAGGATGTTAATATATGTAATATGATATAATAATATTGATTTAATATCAATATGAAAAATATTAAGTATATATTAAATATTAGGTGTATGCGTGTATGTATATATGTATATGTGTATATGTAATTAAGTATAAATGTGTGTATGTGAGTATTATAGAAGTCGTGCAAAGTTAAGATACAAATTTATAAATACTTGTTTAATTTAGATGAACGTAGTATTGAAAAAAACTTATTTTAAATAATTTGTATTTTGTAGTGATTGAATCACCAATCTATAAAATAAATCCTTATTAACTCGATCAACTAAATTATTTAATAACGAAACAAATAATTTTTTATCGTTCTTGCTCGATTATGCATTGAAATTTTGTATTATCTTTATTGCGCTTGTAAAGAAATATCAATTAAAAAGTTATCTATGTGAACAATTTATTTATTGTTGTTTAATTTATTTTATGTAGAATATTGGTCTTGGTTTAACTCTTGTTATGGTTAGAGTGAAAACGGTAAACTACGAATATAAGATAATGAGAATATACATAATAAGAAAGAGATAATGTCAACTTAAAATAACAAATTGTGCTAGCCTTAGCTGATTAGCGGCGTTTGCTGACAGAATAATAAATAGTTTAGAGGAATTGTAAAGATATCGAAGCACAGAAAATGACTCAAGGTAAAAAAATGCTACAATATAAAAATATAGTAAATAATCGTTAATTCGGGTATATAAGAGAACATGATTAAAAAAAAAAACACGATGTTTTTGTAAATTACGAAACATTTATTTATTCGTTTATTCACTTCATGATTGTGTATTTCATCAATCTTTACGAGCGATATAAACATAAGCATCGGAGTGTGCCCAGTTAGGTGCTTATCATACAATGCTATATACAATTAATAATTATAGCAAAGGATATAATATGTCACACTTACAGAACATTTCCGAAACTCATACACTTACTTCTTACTTTCTACTAATTACACGAACTCGGTTGTTTAAGGTATTATTATACCTTAAAGTTTAATATTACTTCTTATATTTAGTAGTATTGTTTTGGTATATCGTCACAGCGATTCTGTGCATTAATTATTTGATTACTACTTGCTTAATAGTACAATTTCCGATTTAGTCACGGTGCAATTGTGTCCTAATTATTATTGGTCATTCCTCAATTCTTTTCCGGTAAAAATATATACTATCATTTCGAATTATTTACAATGTGCCTTACAGAAAGATAGAATTGAGTATAATTTTTAAAACTAATTTATATATTTTTAAGTGTTTAAAGAGATTAAAAAAATATTTGACTTTAAAATAATAATCAAATTACTTCGAATGGATGACAGTATATTTTCTACAGGATAATATTATGCCATAAAATATATTGAAATTATTGATAAACACTTTGCTATTGTACTACAATGACCAAAATTTTCGTCGTAAACACAGTTTTTGTTTTCACTTATAATGTAAAACGTTAATAACGACACTTAGACAGTAATATACGAAATATAAACACTATTCCGATCATGTTGCAATAGAACTTCTTTACAGTAATATATACATACACGGAATTGAATTATATTTACAATATCAATTTCATAAAATACTAATTTTTCTTCGGGTGTTGGTATCATTATACGGATAATGAGTGAATGGCTATTTACGTTTTGAAAGTCAGAAGTTTTGACAAGAAATACTCCGTTATTCAGAAATATAAGAAAAGCATTAAGAAATATAAGAAAGGCGTTAAGAAATTCGTTTATGAGTATAATTCAGCAATTAATAATCTATGAAAAAATATATTATTTGATAAGTCTTGTTTCACATCCGACCTCACGATTTCATTTGCGCGCATGTATATGGTTTTAGCATGATTCATTTTATTTATTACTTCTTTTTCAAATTCCAGTTTTGGAATTCAAAAAAGATGACGCTGAATTTCATAATTTTAATCCGTCTAATATTTGTTAACGTGTATTCACTGTATATTCATTTTTCTTTACACGCAGAAAACTATTCGGTTGATTATAACTGAATTTCAGTTACGACAACCGAAACCTTCCGTTTCCCAGGAATCGACTGAAAATTTAGTTGTAACACAATTTAGAAATTCTGTCAGAAGGTTTCTGTTGTCTCAGAAATATATTCGGTCACTTGAACCGAATATTAATGTTGTCAAGGGTACAAGTTCTTCACACGAATGAACAGAACATCTTTATGTGCGTAAGTGAAGGCGGAAAATACTTGCGCGACCGTATTCAAAATCACATCATTGACAGCGTCATTCAACTTTTTTAAACGAATCTTTTTCGGTCGCGATAACTGAGATTTCGCTTCTCTTTACATATACGAATATAGTTCTACGCCTTTTCTGAAAGTAACTAAATACTCTGCTGTGGTAACTATATTTCCGAGACCGAAAATTTTAATTCCATCAATCGAAAGCAATTGTTGATGTGAATGGTTTTTCGGTTTGCGAAATAGAATTTTCTGTTACAATAACCGAAAATAACAGAAAATTTCTAGTTGTCACTACAGAATATTTTCCTGCGTGCACCACATAGTATATTTAATAATATCGGTAATTACAGGATTAAGATTACTTTATTATTAATAAGCATTTTTAATAAATCAAAATGCGCAACATCAGAAATCTTTGGTTAGATTTTATGATTGCTAATGGCATAGAAATCATGATAATTTACAAATTATGATTTTACCATATATTGTAATAAATATTATTACATATTATTACAATGACATGGCTTCCGATTATTTTTTAGATGTTTATTAATTGATGTATCATAAAAAATTTACACATACATGCACATACATACAAAATTTAAGATTCTCAAATTAAGTTGGTTGCCTGATCAAATGAAACAAAAATGAGTATTCCAATAATCAAATTGGTAATATCCCTAACAAATTTATTATTAATCGACTCAAGTATGATATTTAATACTATTTTGTTTCATTTGAAAATCATTATTTGCTTTTCTGTGCTTTTTCTATGAAACTGTCTCCCTTACGCTTATAATCTGTTTCTCAAATGCAGTTCCTACAATGTCATGAAATTAATACTTTTTGACCTATCATAAATTTAAAAAATAGTTTTATTGAAGTTGCAGTTTTCATTGTATGGATTTTCATTTTATATTGAAGTCCATATAGATCTAACACTTATCGTATTTGTATGCGAATTATTCTCAGTATCTCTTTCTCTCTCTCTCTCTCTCTCTCTCTCTCTCTCTCTCTCTCTCTCTCTCTCTCTCGCCATACTAGTAGGCTCGATAGAGAAAAACTCAAACTGTTTATATAATCTGCAATAAATATCCAAAGGAGCGAGGAAAGCAATGAATTGTCCGCGGCGGAAGATCGTCAATTAAACATTGAAAATTATATGTATATATACATATATGTGTGTGTGTCTATCAAAATAGATGTTACAGGGCCGTGAGTCCGTAATCGGATTTTATCGCCGACGGTGGTACAGGAGCTGACACTTGCGACAATCCGGAAGGACTGGTAGCCGGAGCAAGAGGACTGATACTTCCGGAACCTATGTGTCCCAACGATCCTCCCGACGAACCTTCTATCATTACACCCACGTGATGATGACTCAGCTGCGCTTGGAGATGAGCCAGAGGATGAGGGTGACCTTGAAAGCCAGGATGAGTTAGACTGGGATGAGAAAGACTGGAGCTGACCCCGTGAACTTCGCCCATATCGAGACCGATATTGGAGTCCAGGCTATTCTCCATACCGCTGGAAGGTGAATTGTTGTTTTTTCTTTGGCTGTTGTTGTTACCCGTGCCCGACTTCGCACGCGTCGCTGAGGTCTTCGCGGGCTTCGTCGTTGCTGATGGTGCTTGTCCGTTTGCGTTCTTTCTGCGTACGTTCTTCGTGTTCGGCAGTTTATGATCTTTCTTCCATTTCATACGGCGGTTTTGGAACCAAATTTTTATCTGTCGCTCGGTCAGGACTAAGGTATGCGCTATTTCGATCCGTCGTCGTCTCGTTAGATATCTATTATAGTGAAACTCCTTTTCCAGTTCCAATATTTGATGCCTAGTATAGGCAGTCCTTTGTCGTTTTGGTTCCATTCCAGGTTGATACGAGCCATTCGCTGTAACGAAAATATAGGAATGAAAATTTGTTAATGTGACGAGATTACAAACGTTGTCAAATGTCCGCTTTTTCAAAGATGTCACTTTTTATCTGACTAGAAATATAATAAATAAATAAATATGTATAATAAAAATTTATATAATATTCATTATATATAATGCTTTATAAAATTGCATCATGTTCTCAGGAAACGGTAAAGCAATCTTGTTACATAATTTTCTGTTTATCACGCGTCCTGTTTGTTCTTTTCACTCATATCCGAGAAATTAATTATTTATTTTAATATTAGTTTATCTATCTTACACACACACACACATACACACGCACACACAAAAAATATAACAAAAGTCGATCTTTATCGTATCACGAAAAGGAACGATTATTCATACATAAATAAATTGAAAATATAGAATAACATTATTTTCTTATAAAATGTTTATCTCAAGAGAATAAAGTTTGACTAATCGCTAAACACGCGAGTATTTATCGAGTATCTGTCGAATGATAAAGCTCAATATTATTAAATACAACAAGATGAGATTGTAGAACCAATTGAAATCACTTCATCTAAACATCATGAGTTCACGTATACAAGCATAGATAGAAGTAACGATCCATAGAACGATAAATATACTTAATTTAAACAGCACACGTATGTTTGACGCGCGTGAATCTTCGAATTTCGTGCGAAGTTAGTTTCTTAGAAGAGAAAACTATAAAAGAAAATATTTTACTCTACATTTTTTACTTGCTTTTCTACGAGGAGTCACTTCCTTTGTGATTGTATTCTAATTACAATCGCATCTTGTATAAATGCAGGTTTTTTGCTTAGATATTTAAAAGTTTCGTTATTAAATCAACATGACGTTGCTAATGATTAAATACTTTTTATACTACCTTATATTATTATCCCGTTTATCATGAGAAGATTTTGTCTACATTTATTATTGGCTAATCTCTCTCTTTCTCTCATGTCTCGTGTGTGTCCAATTTTAGAAATCTAATAACAAGTTTTATGATTATGAAAATCTTCCTTGTGAGCGTTAAAATATAGCGCAAAGGTGCAAAAACGTGAAGAACTCTCGATAGAAAAATATTCAATATACTTTGTATATTTATCTGTTAAATATTTCTCACGTTGACGTCGACAGAGATATTTTATGCGAATAAAATTTTTATACTATATGACCATCTGTCACGTCACGGTTGTTTTGAATGGCATCAAAGTCAGCTGAAGTGACTTTTGTAATCTGATCAATCCGCTAGATACGACGGTAAAGTTGCGGAGGCAGAATACGCATATGCAAATTCACGAGGATAAAAAGTGCGAGACATACAGGTGCATTATTCCCGCTAAATAACATCTACAGATACGCGAGTCCACAATAGATCATCCTTCACAACCATCAATCTAGTTTCAAGGTTAAGTTATTTAATAATTATCGCATCGGACATGTTTGTCAAAGTTTCTTGGATGCATTAAAAAATATAGCTAAGCTTGCACAATTGATTAACGATCGGCAGGAACATTCACGAGATACTCAGAATCACGCAGGTGTATACGGTAATAATAATAATTGTAAAATATTAGTGTGACGAAGAAAACAATCAGATGTGCCGTTGATGTACGGGAAATGATTGAACAAATATATTCGAAAATATACTACTCTATGCATGTTAATATTTATGAGTCATGCTAGTAGCAATTCTTGGTGGTCTGTTCTGCTCGATAGAGGAAACACAAGAACGAGTTTAGTCTAGAATCTGTTCAGACACATTCCATTCCGAGCTGACCGTCGCTCGCGAAGGCCCCTTTTAACATCGACGTCCGGCGCGACCATACTTCGACAAGCAAAGGGTAGAGATTGCAGTTTCTGACAGCCCGACGGACGAGCATACCGATGTCCAGAGATTTCGAACATCAAATTGCACAAATGCGTAACACCGTGAAAAATGTAGCTTTCCCGCAACATTACGCATATAGTTCATTGTGAATTTGCAAATTTATCGTAAATATTATTTTATACTTATAAGTACAATTTTTTTAATATTAAAAATAATTACGGTATAATTACAACTATAATATTGTTAGGGTTCACTAATTTCGGACCTCAGCGAGAAATTATTGCAGTTGCAATTGCTGTTACTGTTTAGCGAGCAACTTCCTTCAAAAATAAATTTTTGAATTTGCATTATACTGTTTTCTTTTATGTACGAATATATTTGTATTAATTATAGATGAATAATTCCTTTCAATTAAACGATTTATGGTCAATATCAACTTGAGCAAACGTTACATTTTTATTTACTTTACACGCGATAACAATTATTTTTAGCATTAAATGCCGGACAAAATGACCAGTTTTCATTGCCGGAAATTTTACCTGGAAGCATGAATTATGGGCATTCGGTTTTGCGGTGATTTTATCAGGTATAACGATCTCAAGGGAAATACTTGCAAGCTGGAATGAGCAGCACTTTCCGCGGTTAAGCGGAATACAAATTTTTGTGGCTGCAGAGTCAGTCTAATTCTGAAGGCATATTACGTAGCAAAAATCACCTTTAGCAATTTCTTATGTAGCTGCAAAATAGTTTTTGGCTTGGCGGCGTGTATGAAAATTACAAACCTTCGGAACAAATGCGTTACAGATATGCCACACATTTATAATTTGCGAGACATTAATTAATATACGCGCGTGTCGGGGTTACGCTCAAAATGTGTTTTTATCCTCACCGAGATGGGAAGCACGCGTATATTAGTTCTGGCAGTAGTTGTCTGATTAATTATGAAAGGAGAACTACATTCGCGTTAATTGCCTTGATTATAACGATCAGGGGCATTACATTATTACCGGCATCTATTCTAAGTTCCAAGCGCTACTACTAACCTTACACAGCGATGAATATCTACTTAAAATACGATAGAATCTCTGTGTCCAATTTCGAAATTTATTGTTGCCCACAGTGCTGAATTGTGTTGTGGACATCCCATTCTTGTGGCGCATGTTCGCTACTATGTGAAGGATGGAGACGTATTAGGCGTAACCGAATTCATCTATAGTACGAGGTGCCGCTGTGTAAAACCTTACACAGGTGATCACAAGGTGCAACGATAAATTGCAGCTCATAAGTCTTCTGGCGATCCAAAAAGTGTCACCTTACGCACACAATACGGTATCTATCTGTTAGACATACAAACACGCACCCTCGGCATCGTGTTCGGGACGAAAGGTTTCGGAAGAAGAATGTATCCTAAAGTTTGCGCTTTTGTCACCAGATAAGTATTTATACAAATTTATAAATGTCTCAAATTATACTCATTCTTCATCTTAGAATAGCAAACATGAATGAGAATCAATGGACAAAAGTAAAAACATGTTAACCGTATTCGCGTCCTTAGTTTTATTCAAGTGAAACAGAATCTTTCTGAATAATATAATCTTTAAAAATTACTGTAATAAATCACAGATTTCTACAAGACCCGTGGCGTGGCGCAATTGTAAATTGGATATTTCCTCACGCAAAAAAGTATGATTCTACGAGGCTTTGTTTTCGAGAAAATCAATTGCAAATATTCGTTAAATATGTGCGTGTACTATTCAAATCCGTCTTTATTTATCATTTTATTTCTATTCAAATGTGTTTATAAATATTGTTTGGAGACGATTTGATCTCTAACGATTTTATGGTACTTATATTTTGGTTTGGCACGATTTCATTACATCTTGTTATTAAACAATCTCTGCCGTAGCTATGTATACATATATTCATATATACATGTATTCAGTGAATACCCAAAATTGCTTTTGTCGCAAGCAAAGCCTTGTGCGAGAGAAAAGAGAGATTGTAAATTTTCGACATATTTTTACGAGAGGAACTACTCATTCGTTCCCCGACTGTATGATGATTATGATTATGATGAAATTACATTTGATTGCGACTAAATTATATTTAATTAAGACCGAATGTACCTTTACCGAATGTACCTTAAGAATTATCATGAGTAAATTCTAACAAATATATGCATAATACATGATGTTTTTTAAATTATAACATACGAGGCACGGTTATATCACCGAGCCGACGGATGAATTCTTCCAGACCGATCATATCTTTTAGGACAAAATGTAACCTCTCATATAACAAATAATAGATGGTATTTGTTGATTACAGGATGCAACAAGATTAAGACGATCTTGTATCTTATCATTTAAACTATACATGTTTATACATTTATTTATTGAATAAGAACAATTTCTAAAATAACAAATATTATGCTATGTGAAGCAAAAGTCCCATGCACGTTACAACCGAGAGAGTGTATGATAAAATGAAATAAATTATTGTAATATAGACAACAAAAATAACGCTTGAAAGTAAGCTCCAGTGTCTAAAGCTATGGCATTGTATATTTCCGTAAAATTGCGAAAATAACTGCGAGGAATAATTTACAAACATCGACTCACCGACACCTGCTACGTGAATCTTTTTCATCCACGGGAAGATCATGCGGTCTCCGTTCTCTTCATCCTCCTCTTCCTCCTCCATCATTCCCGGTGAACCGTCCATCATTTGATCATCTTCCATATCATCTGCATCCATACCATCTTCCACATGGTGTTGTTGCTGCTGCTGCTGAGGAGTCTGTTGTTGGCTGTTTTGTATATGCTGAGGTTGCTGTGAGGACGACTGTTGCGTTTGAAGATCAGGCGAATTATCTCGATGCAACTGACCCGAACCAGTTGGACTGCAAGCATTGTTCTCATGTTGCTGCTGATGATGCTGAAGGGCGTCTGGTTGTACGTGATTCTGCATTATAGACGGCGACAAAGGAGTGGAGCCGACGACAGTTGACGTCGGTACGGGTTGTTGTTGTTGTTGCTGCTGCTGCTGTTGCTGCTGCTGCTGACTTTGTATCGACGAGGGACACGTGAGCGGAGGTTGCTGAGCTTCCGGCGGCATCGCCAGGGCACCCACCGCATGATGATGAGGATGTAAACTGGCATGATGGACTGCGTGCACTTGATGATGAGGATGATGAGGCCCGTAATATCCGCCGTATCCTGTGTACCCGCCGTTTAATTGTACCGCGGAAGAAGCGCCGTAAGGAGTCGATGCTGCCTGATGGTGATGCTGATGATAGCCATACTGCAGCTGGTGAGATTGCGGATGGCTCAAGTGGTGACCGCTATTGCTGCCGGCGAAGAAATCCGCCCCAGTCGAGGGTATATAGTTGCTTTGGCTGTATTCCTCGCTGGGAGGAAACTTCGGATCGACCATGACAGACGTGGCGGCCAAGTGATGATTCCCAGTTTGCTGCTGATGCTGGTGGTGATGATATCCACCAGCAGCGGATGGATTCATCAGGAAAGAACTCATATTTGTGAGTACCCCCTTGCGAAAAACGCACACACGCGCGCGCACATACACATACGATGTGTTCAGGGGAGGAAAAGAGAAAATAATTTCAGACGATCGCGCACTTCACTTCCGCATTCTTATTGCGTTGCCTTTATTTATCAATGACTACGACCCGGTACACCATTTCGTGTTAGTATCTATTCTCATAAGCTCACACTGCACAGCACTGCACTGTGGTCCATCGTCCACACCTCACCGCCTCTTGCGAAAAGGGGTGACGTTTTCTCGAAAGGAGGAAAAAAGAGAAAGAAGGAGAGGGAGAAAAAGAGAAAAGAAATGGGAAGAGCGGGGCCACGACGAGCACAGGTCTCCCGGTGGACAGCTGCTTATTCTCTCTTCTCCTTCCGCCACTTTCGCGATCCTCCACGACCTCGTTCGCTCCTTCCCGCCCACCGGAGCCCAATTACCATGCCACGTGACCACGAAACCGACCAATCGGAGCTGTTCCTAGTTCGCGACCATGATGGATAACCAAGGCACACATGCAACACGTGAGTGGCGCCGCGAGTACAACTGCGGCAGGTGCAGCAACTTCTTGCTTCGCTTCTATACTTCACGGTTGTCACCGAATACCAGACATCTGTAGTTTATCAACTTTTACATACGCCACTAACTGTCTCGTTTTTCGGCAACACGCACTTGTTTGTTTCATAAACAACCACTCGGACGCACTGAGTTGAGTTCGAAATAAGTGTCAAGCTGACATTACGAAAAAAAGATCTAGTGAATTAAACATCTTCATCCAGATCTACATTTGATACAAATGGGCGGGTGGTCGTTTACGCACTACACTTTCGTCACTACTGTCGTGCATGAACAGTTGCTCACGAATGTAGAAATTCAGTCAGAAGAGATACCTCGCCGGAGAGCCATGAAAGCAAGCTCGTCCTGCGTCGGCAGAAACTCGTCTGGCAACTCTGCTTGCTTCTAACTCCCTCCAGCTCCGCGTTCGTGCCGGCTGGCTTTGAACCGATGCGGAGAGTCGCGTCCCCCTTCCTCGTCATGCGTCTTCTCCAGAGTCAACCCCACTCCGCAGTGGCATGAGACCAACCCCTGGCACGGAAACAGTGGATCTTGTTCCCTTATGGGGCATACTCGAAGGTACTTATAACCGTGGAGTCACTCCTACGGATCTCCTTAACCCGCCTCCATGCTTCTGAAATCCATCTTATGGCCGAAGTCAATGCTAAGAGAAACGATGGTAAGATACATTAATACTGTTGATATTGAATATCGCGTCGAAGGTAATCTCGTTACTAATTTGGGTACTGTTTGTCGTGACTAGCAAATATTACCATAATAGCTCATTATTCCGCCATTTGTACGGAGATGTTAATCGATCTGTTGTAATGGATGTTTCCCTTCCTGTCGTGGGTGGGTATACTCTAGTGTGTCCGAAATTGCTTCTGTGTATAGCATGTATATGAATATATATATATATATATATATATATATATATATATATATATATGTAATCATATAAAGTAATATGTAATATTTTGCTAAAAACTATCCCCTCTCAATTGAGGGTTGATAATCATTGTCCCTTTCAGCCTAGTAAGTAAGTAGTAAACAGTTCCAGAATGTTAACAGGCATCCAACAATATTATGTGAAAGGAATTAGAATCAACTTAATTAATAGTAATAGATCTACCGCTCGATTATTTTACTCACATATTAATGCACCAGTCTTGGCGTGCTCGGTCAAGTACGTTCACTCGCGATCAGCTGCGTGGCATAGAGAATATAAAACGCCGAGTCATTACGCAAAGAGCATACTCACTGTGTTTTGCTTTGCTACGACAATACAGCACGGTAAATTTAAGTTACGTTGTCTGTGCTATATAAACGTTCCGAGGAAATAACAGTATCGGAATATCGTAGAACGACATTGTAGTACATAGACTGGGTGAGCTTAACATAATACCGTGTGTTTTGAAAATATTTTGCGATAGTGGTAACTCACATTCTCGTGTTTCGCACGAAATATTGCTGAAAATCTTTTGATTAAATGTGTCAGCGCTATTGCGTCAAGTACCAGGAAAGTAGAAATGATATAGAATCGAATGGGATCGAAATCCGGAAAGCTGAAAACGCGTCGCTCGTTTTTATCAGATTTCTCTCTTTCTCTCTGCCTCCTCTCTCTCTCACTCTCTCTCTCTCTCTCTCTCTCTCTCTCTCTCTCTCTCTCTCTCTTTCTCCCTCTCTCACTCTCTCCTTCTCCCGACTTGGTTTTTCGTTTGCCCGGATGTGCCACGGCTTATTTCTATTTTTCTTATGGCCACTTCATGTCGCTTCACGTAGAGAAGCAGAGCTTTGAGTGGAATCTGGAAGAGTCCAGAGGGGTTGAAGGGATCGCTGAATGACGTAGAGGGGGTTGTCTCCTCGTTTTGCGACACAACCTCCTCGTCTTTATCATCGACGACGCTCGGGAACTTCTATCTTCGTCTCTTTTCTCATCTACCACCATCTTACGCTATCTCCACTTTCGTCGTCTCGCTTCTTTCCCTCCGGTTCTGCCTCAAGTCTTCTGCTCTTGTCTTTCGGCGAAACACGATCAATCACTTTTCCCGGTCCAGCAGCGTGACACCCCCTTTTACACCCTCAGATATCTTTGAAGAGGACCTGGTTCGTCAACGGCAAGCTCATTCGACTATCGGGCGAATGTGTGATCTTCTGGATGACGATTATCGTGGGATCACACGCTTGCGTTTGTCATGTGTCATGAACTTTTGTCCTCGCGCGGAGGATGGTCGATATTTCTGTCTTTGAGAAAAATCACATGTTTGAGAAGCTGACATCAGCAAGCGCATCGTTGTTACGATGTTAAGGTAATTGTTAAAATAATATAAACAGCTTTGTGGATAATAAATTAAAACTTAAGCTAAAAAGAGTCGGTCGGTTAAGTTCTACATTACGATTCAACTAATTTCACGCATATTGAGTATTCGAGATGGAAATGTTGAAACGGCAATGATATTCTAAACAATCGTTCCTGAACTGTAACGTGTAAAAATCCGCTCGGTAGAAATCCTTTGTGGATTTAAGATTTAAAGAGTTCAACGGACCTGCATATCGTGATAATGATAAATGAGGACGAAGCAGTTTACGATTTAATATCAATCTTGGCCGAGGCTGGTGCTTATTATTGCCCATTAGTAAAGTTTTAATAACGCAATACGGTGCTCGGATGGGGGTGGAACCGTTGCGATTTATCATTTTCATCGCTTTATTAACGGCGTTTCAGTTATATTCAACTTGTTGATCGCTTATGAAAGAGGAACATCGTCTCTGATATTGAAGCTGCGCGAATTTGCGTTTCCGGAATTATTTTTGGCGAGGTGCCCGCTGATTAATCGTCCTGGCTAAAGACACGAAACTGCAGTCGAATTACCGCGGAGAAGATATTTCGAGGGGAATAGGGTCACCGTATCGAAGGGGATAAACAGCAACTTTTTTTCTTCAATTTCGACGTACAATTTAATTTCTACAACTGTTTTAAGAAATAGCCTTTGTTACGAGTAATTGTACAGTCAAACAGTCGTTGCTATACGCTTGCACAGTATAAGTAAAGTTACGATGCTACGTAACTTAAGTTGCTGTTTGGTTTGACAGGGCGATTCGACATCGCAATAATCGCTTTTTTATCGCCCTCTGAGAATCATCGATCAATGATTCGCGTCGCGCGTGTTCCCAATTAAATATATATTCAAAATATTTGCCAACCAACGTGATCATACTCACAACGAAATCGTGATGCATCGTTCCTCCAGGAATAATCATTCGCGACGCATTTCACGCGTAACGTTTCAGGTCTAAAAATTTAGGAAATGCAAAAGTTATTTCTTTCCGTATTCGTTCTAGTTCAAGGTGTTGGCAGCGGATCTGTTCGAGGCGAGAAACATGAGCCTCTGGAGATTCGATTCCGCTGCTGAGTCACGATCTCGAGCTTGCCGACATGAAAAGGGGACCACATCCCCTTGGGGACATCCCAGTACACATTTGACGCCATAGGTATTTCGGAGGACTTTTGAAATAGCTCCTTTCGCGTGCTCTCTCTCTCTCTCTCTCTCTCTCTCTCTCCCTCAGCTAAACAACGCAAAAATATTACTGGTTTTTTCATGATTTTACAGTTTTTCTTGTGATGCACGTGAAAGAGGCAAATTGCAAATAGAAAGTCGCACTATCGTAATAAATAAAATTGTAACTACATTTTTACCATCGAAATTGCAACTTCTCTTAGATACAAGATTTCTGAAAGAGTAATATTCACTTGTCAGTCGCGTCGTAAGAACAATTCGTTGAGAGAGTGCTAAGAAGACATTCCTATGTTTTTGGAAAAAAGTAACTTAAAAAACCACATAGGGCAACAAAAACTAGACGAGCGGCGACGTTGGCAAAGTCTCGTTGATGACCATGAACATGACATCTTTCATCAAGCAACTGGACGAGTGCTCCAAGTTCGATGTCTAAAGCGGCGTGTTAGTGAAAGTGTCAGCTGCAAGTCGTTTCTTGGCCAACAGTAGTCCCACTTACGGGATGAGAGAAGATGAAGAGCCACTAGAGGTGCGATAATTATCGGCCGGGCATTGCGGTAAAGATGTTAACGTGACCTCCGACCCGTAACCTCGGACAATTACCACCTGACATCGCCGCTTGAAAGCAATTTGCATATGCGGCGTACTTTTCCAGCTTCCTTGAAAAGACAGTGAAAGATAAAAAAGTGCACGTGAGTGGTTATGTCGACGGCGCGCGGGCAGACACAAAAGTGGCCTGTTACTTTAGCAGTTCGAAGCGTCGTTAGTGCGCCGATCTCTCTCGATAATCTCGGCGCTCTTCCTCAAACAAATCCGGGGTCAGTCGGCGATGTATGCGCGCGGAATGCGCGGCTTGCGCGGAAGCACAGGTGTACGCTGCACGAATAAAAAGCATTTGACACAAGTAATAACTTACTGAGAAATAAGACGCGGAGTCGCCGTTATTACGCTAATGGCAATAATCAACTCAAATATGTGCGCTTCGTATCTCTCACTCGCTCTTTTATCGATGTAGACGCGTGGAGTAATTTTATATTTACGTCGCTTTCGCGATGTGGAGAAACGCCGGACCTGACTCGATGTATCAGGTTGCTCCTTTTCCTGGTAAATTGAGCTAAGTGTTCGTGAAATGTGTTGGAAACGAATTCGCAAAACACGACGGTTCAACTGCGTTTTATCTCGCGCTAAACCGCTTCTACGCTTCTCAAAATCATGAGGTGAGATTTATCGATAAAATTCGTTGAAACACAATCGTTGTGCGTAAACAACAAAACAACAGTTATCGCGAACAATATGTAAGCTTCCTCTTAACATCAACATTGTCAATGTGTTACAAAAGCTTTCGTATTACAGTAGCATCGCCCTTGAAGGGAACAGCACATCAAGAAAAGAATTATCGTTGGAAGCGGAAAAAGAAAAGGAGTAACCAGGTAAAAATCGCTTACTCCCCATGATTCGGACTATTAACCGTTTGATGCCCTTTGTTTTGTTATTTCAGAATCTGTTTGTATGCGACGCAAATGTTTGACATGTCATTCGGAAAAGGACAATGGGGGGTGTCACGATTAGCAGAACTAGAACTTTCTTTTGTTAATGGTTTCGAACTACAAGATACATTCTTAGAAAGGATTCGATTTGACTAGTCTCTTGGAAACGGAACACATTTCTGACGATTAAGAATTAGGGTTTAAAGATAATATAGCGCAGATGTGAAAAAATATAAAAAAATATTATTATACCGAATTATACATTTGAATAAAAAAAAATTACAATTACGTTTTAGTTGTGTCGGAGGAAAAATTGAAGAAATTGTATAAATCGAATGATAAACTTATATTGAAATATTCATAATTGTGCTTTTTATTTACAGATGAGATGTCTATGTGAAAACTACCATATATTTTTATATTTAACTTTCGTCAATTTCAGTTTCAATTCCCGCGAATTTCAGCCTTACGGATAACATTCGAGTGACCTACAGACTGCTTTAAAACACATACGGTTGCAGATCGCATTTTTCCAGAAAGTAAGGTATAACATTTTGGAAAAGTGTTGTTGCCAGAGTGGTAAGTGCAAAAGGATGTCCCAAAGGGACGAAAGTTCGGAGGGCGGGATACGAAGAAAGAGTACACGACAGCGTGCCTAAGATTAATGGATTTATATTGTCGGCATTTTTTCAAGCGTTTTAGGACCACTTTTGAAACGAGAAGGGTATCTCATTTTTCAAAAAGTCTGTCGCGAATATGGGCTCGACAGAAAATCGCAATCGATTCGCTTCGCATTAATGGTTTCAAATTAAACCATGATCCTGCCTTACCGGTAAGTCACACATGTAGCCCGCCAGTTGTGTGTTAGATCGTTTAAAAATAGATATTGATAATCGTGACGTCAATTTTCTGCATACAGCCAGCGCCATGTTTGTGCACTTATGTAACTCACGATAGTAATGCGTGTGGCCTTTGTTACATACTTTGCACTAAGTGAAGTGAAGTCAGCTTGGATTACCTTGACATTCGCGTGCAAAGAAACTTATACATAGGGCAGTACTCACAATCCGATCGTATACTTGAGATCGTCTTAAATTTACCTTCAGATATCGCACTAGCTACTAGCATCTTAGAATGAACATAATACTATCTGAAATATAAGATCGGCCTATGAATGACATCCATACAATAGACTTGCAGGAGTTAGGGATTATTTTTATGAGCCATGAGGGACCGTTTATTCCATTCGCTTGCCGAAGGACCGCAGACTGAGCGATTTTTGCCGTTTAGTAGCAATTTGAAGAGTTAAGGAAGGCAGCGCAGGATATGGCAGTCGGCGCGTAGAAAGTGGCGAGAAACACGAAAGGAGAGGATAAAGTTGGCGCCTTGGGACCTTCGATCCTCCTTACGAAAGGCGAAGATAGGAATTACAACGGCTGATGAGCCGTAACCGATGGATGCACAATAACCCTCCGTAAGCGGTACCGCTATCTCTTATTCTCCCTTTTGATACTCCTGATAGGTCTATCGAGCTTTATCTTATTTGAATTTTACTCGTAAGCTACGTAGGAAAATTCCGTTCGCAAATGTCCGCGAAATATCGAACGTTGTGTCCGCTGTGACTTGCACATTTTCGCTTCTCTTTGTCTGTATCTTTTACAGAAAATTTTTCGTTCTTAAAAGGGCAGCCGTTATAAGAAAGAATACGTTTCGAAGGAAGGAATCTTGTCAACTCTTTTATCACTGAGGTCCAGTAGACTTTCAAACCTTTAACATTCATAGACAATATAGCTACCGTGCTCTGCTGACCTACCACTGTCACCTACTGGCAAAGAGGTCTAAAGAGAACCTTTTCAGTTAAGTTTCTAAAGAATAGCGGAATTTTTTAAATCTGGAAGTGACACATAAGATCATTTTTCAAAGTTTTCTTTTATTTCCTTCTGAACATACGTGCGTTTTCGTTGAATTTTTAAAAACGCACTTATGCATAGACACCTAGGCGCGTGCCTAGGTACACTTTGATGTAGCCTCGAAATTTAAAACGACTTATATCGCACACAGTAAGAATAGAAATAATTTGTTTTCACATATTAATATTTTCGTACATATAGGATATATGAATCTTCTTTTGAGGTCACCAGTGTAAAAAAAGATCGACATTTACGACATTCCGTTCATTCTACTGCGAGTTCGGCGAAGACTTTAAAATTTTCTTGAGAAAGTTTGATGAGTCTATCGAATGCTATTATTCCATGCCCGCCCTCATTCTTTTGCCCTTCTTCGACGTTCTTTAATCATTCAAAGTAAATCAATCACCCATCCACAGGCTTGCAATCGCGCTAGTCACCCTTCAGCCGCCGTCACCCAGAAAACTTTGGTGGCCCTCATACTCAACTTCATTCGCAAACCCGATACTGAATGACGTTATCTAAGCCGAACATTTTCCATCTATCTCTTTCTGTCCTTCCTAACTCTCAGGTTGATGTAACGTAAAAATCATATCAAGTGCAAACTATTTTTTATTATCTGTGGTACATTGTACATTTTTCTAATGCAACAATATTCTTCTTTGCTACGGCAAAACATTTTACTCAAACTGCAATTATTAAATATTGCTAATGTCTGTATATGTGTGATTTGCATTTCAGTTCTTTCAATCCTTGTAAGAAAATAAGTAAAATAACAAATTTAAGGAGATTTAAATACTTAGGAGATTTAAATCTTTAAGGTGATTTGTATCTTTAAATTTGGAATATTACTTTCTTACAAAGATTTAAATCCTTAAATTTGCAATTTTATCTACTTTAAATCCTTAAATTTCTTGTTTTTCTATCTATTTAATTAATTCTTTTACCATAAATGTTACCTATTTACTTTTTTGCTATAAACTATTTTTATTTTAGCGTTTTACTTTCCTGTTTCTGCAGTAAAAATATTGCAGATAATTAATATACAATTGTCGCCGTATAAGGTATTATTTTCGAAGCTGTTTAGACTCCTTCTTTCTCTCTTATTCCTATTTAAATTATTTAATTTATTTTTAGCAGTTAGCGGAATATGTAATTTGTAAAATATCATAAAAAATGAGAATGAGAAAATTATACTCTAAGTGATATCGACATATAAAGTGTACATGTAGATGTACATTCCGCTAAGGGGCGAGTAAGGACATCGTGTATCTCCTTCTGTACAAGGGATACATACGTTTGCGTCTTCTTCGACACCTCAGCCCCATAGATTCCACGTTCACGAGATTTTGCACTTTCTCCCTCAGTCGATACTGTTGGAGAGAACCAATCAGCGATCCCTCGAAACTTTTCTGCACCCTGCAGCCCGCAGCCACGCCTGCCAATATAGGGTAGGTACCCTCGTCAGATCAACCCTTATCCTTTTTACCCGCCTTCCTTCTTTTCTCTCCTCTTACTAGACCCAACTCGTTTCGCAAAATGGATTCTCCCTGCGCTGTTTTTATCAGCAACGAACCACCATGTTTGTAATATGTAATACTATGCTGATGGGATTTAGTATACGAAGTGATAAATTTTGCATTATACGGTCACACTATTTATTCGTAAAGAAACCTTATACATTAATATCTATGAGGTTTTTACTTTTCCATATGTGGATAATAATATTAATGTGACTTCATAGCTATTTCTATTAAACATTTACACACACATACATACATACACACACACACACACACACATACGCATACCATACGGAAAGTACAACGTTAGATTCACTTTCGAATCAGCGCGTAGATAAACGGACGTGACGATAACCGGTGACCATTTCGATGTCTACCGAACGACCGATGAAGAAGGCAGATGAAACGTACAAGTTATAATAATCCATGATAGCAACGGTGGCGATGTCGAGGAGCGGAGGAGCGGCTGTGCTGTCACAAAGGCATGCGCCACCCACCTCGACCTGGACGCTCACATCGTTAATCAACTGCAGCGGGACCCCGTAACTTTCGAGGTACCGATCCACAGGTACGGCTTCACTTCGTTCTTCCTCCGATCCCGATATCTCTGCGCGAATGTGGTCTCAGATAGTTGAATAAGATTTAAAATTAAAACACGTTTTATATTTTATATTTTTGACGCTTTTGCCAATTGGTACGTAAAGACGATCGTTCAAATTGCCCTGACAAGTGACATTTTTTACTACCTATTCTTTTCCGCGCTTCGGAAGAAATATTCCAGCACAATGCAACGATACATATTAGTAACGATAACATATTATCGTGCAATAAGAACGCGATGCGCAAACCGTTGGATAGAATTAAGGGATTTACAATCTATTATTCGGAGAAAGGTCTGGTAGAAAGCGCGGAAAGAAATGGTCCCAGTTGGCAGTACAGCGCTTTTAAGAAGCTAAGAAAAGTACGAATCGCGAGGGTCTCCTTTTCTATGGCGCGGTACCCTTCTATGATATTTCCGTATGGCGATCTCTCTCTCACCAAGGGATATGCAATAAGGTTTAACGGGAAGGAAAGAGATTGGAAGACCGAGATCAGGGGTAGAGGCGAACCAACCCCACTGCCGTCTAGCCAGCAACCCTCTTTCTTTCCCTTAGAAAGGTTCGAGGTTAGCTCAAGGAACGCGACGTAATAGAAACAAGTTGAAGGAGAGGAGGCAAAGTGCACAGCAGTGAAAGAGAAATACAGAATAAGAGAGAGAGAGGGGGGGGAGAGAGAGAGAAAGAGAGAGAGGAAGGGAAGAGGAGAAGACAAGAGGAGCAAAAGGGATATATATATACATATATATATATATATATATATAGAGAGAGAGAGAGAGAGAGAGGGGGGGTTGAGAGAGAAAGCCATGCCGACGCTGCTGCTAGTCAAACCAAAACTCGGCATGATTAATGATCAGAGAGAGAGAGAGGCAGAGCGCTCCTTCAAACAACAAACTTTTCCCAAGGAACGCCGGAGAATATAAGAAAAAATATATAAGAAAGAGGGAACTCTCTTTCCTCGCATCCACCCTTCAGACCAGCTAATACCCTCCTAGGTCTCCGTCTTCTTCTTTCTCTCCAGTTTTCGCCCCCATTCTGCAATCGCATCCCTCTTCTCCTTTGGTCCTCTTCCATCTCGCTTTCACTCTTCGTAGTTCTCTGACAGCCCTTCATTTCTTTCCTCTTTCCTTTATTTCTTTCCCTCCCATCTAGATCTCGGTCCTTGTCTCTATTTCTCGTCTTCGT